CCTCCGCCTCCTGGGTTCCAGCAATTCTCCTGCCTCCAGCTCCCAAGTAGCTGGGTATACAGCACACACCACCACACCCAGCTAAAATTTGTATTGGTAGCGAACAGGGTTTCACCATGTTTGACCAGGCTGGTCTCGAACTCCTGACCTGAAGTGATCCACCACCACGGCCTCCCAAAGTGTTGGGATTACAGGGATGAGCTGCTGAGCCCGGCCTAATCTCAGGTAGGATAAAGCTGATAATGGTCAGATACTGGTTACTGTCAGGGGAGTGGACAGCCTAGGAGGGGACATGAACCGGGTCTCTGGGGGCCTGTAATGCTCTGTTTCTTTACCCATGGTGCTTGTTTACATGGCTGTGTTCACCTGTGCAATTCAGTCTCATGGTGACATGTATGCACTCGTGCGATTTTCGCATGTATGCCATATACTTCCATTAAAACTACTAGTACAGGCCGGGGGCACGGTGGCTCCACGCCTGTAATTTCCTAGGGGGTGCACCTTTGGGGAGGGTCTGAGTATGGGCGGATCACGAGTGTCAGGATGATCGAGGACGCTAATCCTGTATAACACGGTGAATCCCCGTCTTGTACTAAAAAATACCAAAATTAGCTAGGCAGGGGGGGCACACTGTGAGTCCCAGCTACTGGATGAGGCTGGGCCAGGAGAATGCGTGAACTCGGGAGGCGGAGCTTTGCAGTGAGTTGGAGATCCCGACTGCACTCGCTAGCTGGCGACAGAGACAAAGAGCTCTGCTGTCTAAAAAAAAATAGAAAAACAAAAAAAACCACTTCTACTAGTAGAAATATGTAGGTGCGTGCGCGGTGGGCTGCAGCGTCAATCCCAACACTGTTGGGAGGGCGAGTGGCAGGTGGATCACGAGGTCAGAATCGGAGGGACCCAGCCTGACCAACATTGGGGAAACCCGTTTTATAAAGATACAAAAAAATTACTGAGGTGTGGGCACCGCCTGTAATCCCAGCTTATCAGGAGGCCGAGGCAGAGAATCATTGAACCCAAGGAGGTGGAAGGCATTGCAGTGAGCCAAAGGCAGATCGCACCACTGCACTCAGCCTGGGTGGCAGGCAAGACGTCCGTCTCAAAAACAAAAAATAAATAAAAAGAAATATGTTTTGGCGAGTTAATGAAGAAAACAACCCAAATGTCATCAATGGAGAGCAG